ATATGTTTCAAGTAGTCAACTGTGACCTGTAATGAGCATTAAATTTCACTCATTTAGTCCTTGTCATTTCTGCTGTGTTTGCATGGGGGAGGCAGTTAACACTTAACTGTAGAAGTTGTACCTAACTTCATGCACTGAACAGGTATCGGATAGTAAAGCTTTTAGTCACTGTTGCTGTGGGCTACTTTCATACTAGTGGCCGTATGCTTAGAGGCAACATGTCTCAACGCTGCTCCCCTGAGCTTGCGAAGCCCTCCCCTAAGGTGAACACACGCGTGTCACTTTTTTTCCTGCCTTGTCACTGTAATGTTGGTGCTGGTATAGATGGCCAAGTGTGACACTTCAGGTGTGGAGGCTGGAGAGCAAAAAGGGCAGACACTCTGTGCTTTTCCTGGTGTGGATAGTGTTGGAAGGTAGTGCCAGTTTGGAGTTTTGATAGTGCTGTGAAATGCCAGCTGTAGTCTGCTGTGCATCTAAATGAATCACAAAGGGGAAACTAGGTTTAAAGCCAAACTGGTTTTCCCAGTAAAAGCCATAGCAGTTGGTGGTATTACAAAGCATTTTGGCTGTGGTCTGGCTTCACATTGCTTTTCAAAATCTATGCTAAATGATTTGTGAAGACTTAATCAATTGTAAGACTTTGAGATAGGAGTGGTACATAGCTTATAATTACCAGTATCACCTGATGTACTTCGTTTAATTGTGTGCATGTGTCGCTATCCTGTTAAATGACAAGGGAACCTGAAGCTGAGGTGGCAGATATTTACTGGTGTTGCTGCCGCTGTGCAGAACAGTGTACTGTAAAGGTCTTCAATTGCTGCTAAGCAAGCTAGGTCTGATCATGCTGTGCAGCCCAGCTAGATCAGAGAATGTTGTGCTGCAGGAACATCACTGGTCTGTTCCTGAGACTTGGCTTGTATCTGTACAATGATATGCTTCCCTGTTAACTTACTCCGAGTTTGTAGGGAATATCTGAACTCTCCATTGTGCAGGACAGGCATGGCAACTGTATCCTAGGTGGCAGCAAGATCAGTCCCAAACCTGGATTTCAGGTTTTGCTCACTCGAATGTTGGGTGGGAACTCCTGTGGAGTAAGCTGAGGAAAGAACCCATGAGCCTTATCTCTCAGCCAGCTGCTCAGCTGGCAAGCTGCAGATGTCCCCTAAGAGGGATGCTCTTTGCAATTTCATATGCAAACAATAATTAAAGCAATAAATGTTCTGAATGCAAATTCTATTTAGAGCTGGCTTTGAAACGATTTTTTTTCTGCCGAAAGGGGGATGGGGAAGGGAGAACAATGAAAAAGAAAATCATCTTTTTCACAGAAAATGCTGTGTGAATAACTTTGTGACTTTTAAAGGAAGACTGAGCACAAAAAAACCCTGAATACAAAATGCTTTGATTTTTTAAGTGGAATTGACACTCATTTTTCAAATGCAAACAAAATGGGTAAATAGCTAGAGAAAGCAAGGATGTTGGTTTCAGTCCTTTTTCTCCCTACCAAATGTTTTTTACTTAGTGAAAATTTCACTAAGTAATCTTTTTCTTACTTGAAGTTCCAGTAAGAGGATCTAGCATGTAATTGGTATTACTCTTGGAAATTGGTCAAATGGTCTTTTGAGGTAAGCTACATGACTTGTAGTGAGTCCAGATATTAGAGAGACTGACATCTTTTTCCTGTAAGAGATGGGTTACCGTGATGTCTGCAGAATTGTAATACTTGCAAGTCTTTCAGGGCTAAGACTTCCAAATAGGTTAGGGTCAAGGGATATGTGGTGAGGGAGAAGTCACGTCTCTAAGTTCTGGGGTTATTTTGACTAAAAGTATTCTAATGAAGAGGGCTTTTTAGTAATTAAGGGCCCAGATTCTGCCACTCTTGCTCAGGATGAAGAAGAATGGGTAGAAGAGTAAATGAAAGTGGATTACTGGCCCAGAATAGAGTTTCCAGTGTTAAAGAAAATGTCCAGGTCTGTTGCTGTGGCTAAAGAACAGTTCAAAGTGACCTTGAAGTGTAGGAAAGGATTTAATTGCTACCTTTGTTCAGCAGAAGTAATGATCAACAAACTGGAAGTCAGCTGCATGATTTTCTAGAAGGGAACTGTGATCCTTGTGAAGTTTATGCTTCATAAAGGGGTATGAGGTAGGTGCCCCTCCTCCCCTAGTCAGACAAAACTCCTTGGATTTTTCCAGTTGTGCCAGCTGAGTATGAAAAAGAGAACAAACTGACTGTGGCTGGAAGGAGCAAGGATCACAGCCAAAATGGTCTCCGAGGAAAGTGGTAAGACAGGAATGGCAATGCTGTAACAGGAAAGGGCTAAATGAAGATAAATGACAAGTTGAGACAAAAAGAGAAGAAAACAAGAGAGTGTGAGGGGAAACTTAGGAATTTGAATCGGATGACAATAAGGCAAGTAATCTAACCTGGGAGTTAAACACTGTCACAACACTGAAAGGTACAAAGCTAAACACAGCTCTTCCACTCCATTTAAAAAAAAAAAACAAAACCACCAACAAAACAAAACCACCCCAAAACATTTAGTTCAGTTTGTAAGGAAGATGAATGGTTCTGGAAAGGTGTGTTGGTTTTGTTTTTCTAAGGAGAATGCGAAAGGGAAAGAATGCAGACTAGGGAGAAGCAGCAGGTAGTCTAGTTAGCATTTTACAGTAAACATGAAATTATAAAGAACAAAATCAAAAAGCTTTTGCAACAAAAGCTTTTCTTTCTAAAAGGTTTACTTTCTAATAGTCAGTGAGCTGACAATTATTCCGTCATGTTATATGCTAGTCTGTCCATTTTGTTTCAGAGAAGCTAGCCTGCTACCTCAAATAATACACAGGAACTAGTGAGAGATGCTGTGACAGGAGATGCTAAAGGTTTTGTTTGACACAGCTGTTATGACACCGTTGATAACAGGGAAGCTATAGTTTAGCATAGTCTTCTCAAACATAGCAAATTAGCCAACAAGGGGGAAAAGTTGTAGCAGAATTAATCGCTACCTGGAAAACAATTTCATGCTAGGCTAAACAGGGATTATATAAAAAAAAAGTCTGGTTCACAACCCAAGCCTTGGTTTTAGAAAGAAAAGGGGAGGAAAAAAGGAATACAGTTACCTCAAGGCGTTGACTACAGATCTGTCCTGTAAGAAAGACAGTTTGGAGTGGTGTGAGCTAAGTAAAGATCTGTGGGACAGTTGCCTACTGGTTATAAATTTATGAAGTACTTAGCTTCCTGCAGTAGTTTTCTGGGGACATATGCAACTTGAGTATGGGAAAGGAGGGGGTAATAGAAGAATACCAGGAAGGAGTGAATGGGAAGATATATTAGTACCTTGCAGATAAGGATGTAACACAAGGTCCAAATGTATACACAAATATTTAAAACAAAGTTAACTTTATCTACTTGTTCTCTGAAGGGCTGTGCAGGGTGTTTTAGCCTGTGACTGAATGCTGCTTCTTTATAATATGCAGTCCAGCACTTAAAGGAGCACACAGAGGAAAGACTTTTAAAATGCAGCACTCCTGTGGATTATATGTTCACTGACAGTGTCCACTTCAGGGCTATTCTGATGTTTGCAGGATGGAAATAGTTTTGGGGTGGGTTTTTTGTTTAAGGGGTTAATAGGGTAATATGTGTTTGAATCTCATGCTTTTAATCAGGTACTGTGGTGAAACAGATAGCAGATGGAACTGGTTCCTTGCAGAAATGTTTTGTTCATGTTGAACAGGAGGCCCTCAAGTTAAGGAGTTCTGGGACTCTGAGTTCGGTTCCTGCTGTGCTGTGTGTTCTTTGTGATCTTAGGCAAGGCACTAAAAGGAAGATTTGTAGAAGCTTTTAGTATTGCATCCTACAGCACTGCCATTTTGGAAGGTAACTAGTCTTCTAATGGAGTGGAAGCCACTCAACTCAAGGTGGCTTCTGTCTGCTATTTAAGGCAAATCCCTTAAATCTGTTTGGTAGAAAACTTGTCAAAGTACAACAGTATGTTGTAAATGGCTGTTGTGGTTTAACCCCAGTCAGCAACTAAGCACCATGCAGCTGCTCTATTACTCCCCCCCTTCCTCAGCTAGACAAGGGAGAGAAAATGTAACATGGGTTGAGATAAGGACAGGGAGAGATCACTCAATTACTATCACGGGTAAAACAGACTCAAGTTGGGGAGAATTTATGTAACTTACTGTCAATCAAACCAGAGTAGGGTAATGAGAAATAAAACCAAATTTTAAAGCACCTTCCCCTCCCTTCTTCCCAGGCACAGCTTCACTCCCAAATTCTCTACCTCCCCCTCTGCCCCCAGCAGTGCAGGGGGATGGGGCATGGGGTTTGTGGTCAGTTCATCACACGTTATTCCTGCCGCTTCATCCTCCTCAGGGGCAGGACTCCTCACTCTTTCCCTGCTCCAGTGTGGGGTCCCTCCCACAGGAGACAGTCCTCCACAAACTTCTCCAGCATGAGTCCTTCCCACAGGCTACAGTTCTTCAGGAACTGCTCCAGCGTGAGTCCCTTCCATGGGCTGCAGTCCTTCAGGAACAGACTGTTCCAGCGTGGGTCCCCTGCGGGGTCACAAGTCCTGCCAGAAAACCTGCTGCAGCGTGGGCTCCTCTCTCCATGGGGCCACAGGTCCTGCCAGGAGCCTGCTCCAGTGTGGGCTTCCCACGGGGTCACAGCCTTCAGGTATCCACCAGCTCCGGCGTGGGGTCCTCCCTGGTCTGCAGGTAGATATCTGCTCCACCGTGGACCTCCATGGGCTGCAGGGGGGACAGCCTGCCTCACCATGGTCTTCCCCACAGGCTGCAGGGGAGGGAATCTCTGCTCTGGTGCCTGGAGCTCCTCCTCCTCCTCCTTCTGCACTGACCTTGGTGTCTGCAGGGTTGTTTCTCTTATATGTTCTCACTCCCCTCTGTGGCTGCAGTTGCTGTTGTGCAGCAACTTTTCCCCCTTCTTAAATATGTTATCCCAGAGGTGCTACCACCGTCGCTGATGAGCTTGGCCTTGGCCAGCGATGGGTCTGTCTTGGGGCCGGCTGGCGCTGGCTCTGCTGGACATAGGGGAAGCTTCCAGCAGCTTCTCAAGTGCCACCCTTGTAGCCCTCCCTGCTACCAAAACCTTGCCATGCAAACCCAATACAATGCCTGAAGGTTTAGGTGTGTACCTTGGTTAGCACATGATAGCACCCCAAAAAAAAAAGCTTTTCCTTGGTTTACATCAAGTGTGCCTTAGTTTCCCAGATGTAAAATACAGTCACTGCCCTGACTCACAAGGACTTTCATGTGGATTATACACTGGGTAACATGAGAGAGTTTGTAAAAATGTAACAGCTCTGAGAATCTACTAGGAACAGTGTTCTCTGCCATACCATCTTGATCTTTGCTTCTGTTAAAAAAAGTAAGAATTGTGTGAGAAGTACTAGAGTTTAGAAATGGAGGGGGGTTTTGTCTCATTTTGCAGAATTTTTCTGTACCCAGTTTCTCCATTAAAAGTGCTACCAGCTAGAGATGTGTTCCTTGTTTAAACTTCTTTTTCAAGCCTGCAAAATGGATTGTTGAGGAAAAACTTAAATGCACTTTTTAGTGATGCTTCCTGAATGCTGGCGACTCAACAGCACAGAAGAAATGCTATTATATGCACTACAGCCTTTGTTCAAAGGAGTAAGCTATCTTAACTTCAGAGCTGTCTCTAAGGCAAGTGAGGAAGCTTCATCTCTTCAGTTCCCTATAACCAGACTGGATGTAGCCCTGGAGACTGTGCTATATTCCCCCTGGAAATAGGGTTGAGATTCAGGAAGTCAGTGGCAAAAGCTAACAGAAGCTATTGCAATGGAAAAGAGGTCTGAATTCAAACACTTGAGAATAGTGTCTGCACAACTGGACCAACTTTATGGTCTTCAAGTACTTTTTTTCATACCAGGTGTTTAAGCCTGGAAATGAGAAATAATGGTTTCAGGGCATATTATTATGGAGGATAAATCAGTAGTGTATATCTAACACTGTTCTTTTTTTCTGCTCTTAAAGAACAATTCTAGTTGATGCAAGGCACCTCTTTGACTTGAACTGTACTTGTACTATGCTGGCTGTACAAAACTTCCAGGGATAAATAAGCAGCCAAGCATCTTTTGTCCAGAGTTCTTAATGAGTCCACGCCACAGACTGAAAAGACCCTGAAATCAGTATCCTGTGGTGGTGCATATTAGCTTAAGGAGGCTAAAGGCAGTGTTTCCTGGCAGGAATTTAGATTTAATAAATGTCCTTTTGTCCCAGTCTCAGGGAAGTGGCACAATAGGGCATAAATGCAGAAAGAAACTAATGGGGTAGCATCAGTTGCCCAAGGTCTTCCCCTTTCCTTAGTAAGTGCTTTCATATGGCTCTGCTGTAAGAACCTGTTATGAGGCAGTGGAACAGCTGATGTGGAACAGCTGAGTTGCATGGAGCTCCATGTTGAACTAACTGTGTCCTAAGCTGTTAATCTGCCTGTGTCCTAGGAGCCCAGACTCTGCTCTTGATTCTGTGGAAGAGTATATAAATTACACAGTCCTTGGAATTGTTGCAATTTATGTATGGTAAGGAAACCTTTTCAGGGATACCTGGGAGGTGAATGATGGTAGTACTGTGACCATCTTTGACAAATTCTGTGCTGCCTGAAGGGCTGTGGGCATGTTCTGTATCTCTGAATTCAGCCAGCTAGAGACACTGTGTGCCCATTTAATATTTTGACTTCCAGTTAAATTTCTGATGGGGTATGACTGGCCTGAAGTTTCTTCTGGGTGGGCATGTTTGTTTCATCTGTCCTGTCCTGTCAAAGCTATTCATTGCTTTAATCTGAGGATTCTATTAGAAGCATCTGATTTTTCAGTACTTTAGGATGAAGAGACTGAGAAATCATTATGAGTGCCTCTCATGATGGGTTGTGTGAGGTCCCTTATATGACACTTGCAGCTTTTGATAGATCATCAGCCTGATGTTTTGAAAGGCTTTTTTTTCTTGTCCAGATTTCTTCTCAGTCACTCCATATTCTGTTGCTGGCACTAACTTCAGTCTTTTTTTTTTTTAACTTCTAGGCTTTGGCACTTGAGCTGCTAGTTTGGCCTTGGAGACTTCTGACATGGTCCAGTTTCCCTAGCCTAAGACCTTTTGCAAGGTCTTGGCAGGGTTTAAAAAGAGAGTTACTTCTGCTGCTTCTGGGTGACAGAATTGATCCTGGTTTCAAGAGCATGTATTATGCTTTAAAGCTTTCTGTCCTAGAATAAGAGACTTGCTTTTTCAGAGGGACAGGTGCCCCACTTTTCAATATCTAAATCTGTGATGATTATGCTGTTGCCTTTGTTTTTGTACCCACTGCAGGATGAAGTATGATTGTATTAAGAATATAGGCAAAACAGTAATGGGAGTGGTAGGGGGTACTTTCAAATAAAACTGCAAGTTTGAGTCAGCAGTGAATGCTGCTTTTCTGCTGTCGTAGCAAGTCTGTTTTCCAATAAAATGCATGATAGGGTTTCTCAAAAGAAGGTTGGGTGCTGTTAGGAGCCTTTGAACTTGTGATTTTTCTGTACTGTATGCCACTTCATGCATATACAGAAGTGGAATGATTGGGTTATCTAGACTCCAGTTCTTTGTTCTTGTGCTATTATGTGAAAGCTACATTTTCCTAGGAGTATTTATGGGCCTTCAGACTATCCTGTTATGAACCCTTTCCTACTTTCATCCATATAGAAAGAAGGGAGGAGAAACAACACCCCCAGCTGTTACACTCTACTGCCAGTAGTGTTTCTGTTCCACATCTACTCATTTCTTGGGTACTTAGGTGACCACCTTTTCCCTATGTTCTGTTCTATACCAGGTTTCTAGTCCTGTTGTATAGAAAAGGGGAATGTATGTACATAGTACATAACTACTGTCAAGGATGGTGTTTCCAGATGCATCTGAAATGCAGTACACTCTAACCAAGCTACACTATTATAGGAGAGTCTCTACTGAGGTAACATTCCTTCCCAACAACTGAAATACTCTTTTACCAGTGTCTAGAAGTCTATGTTTTTACAGATACCTGACGTGCTCTGATACAACAGATCTATGTTTGCTTACAGCCTAGCTATTACTTTGCCCATGTTTATTTGCCCATTGTATCCTATTTATGCATTGAATTTACACCTGGACTGCAGTATTTGACTGTCTCCTGTGATGGAATTAAAATGAATGTGTTTACATGTCTAATTTCATTCATTTTCAAGGGACAGTTTTGGAGATTTGCTTATTCTTCTGCTGCAGTTTTCCATATGAAATCTCTGTACAGTTTTCAAGGCTACCATTGTTTAAAAATAAAAGCCAAGCTGAAAGGCTTCCCCCATTTCATGCCACAGTTCTGCAACAGGTTTTAAGGGGCTCTAATTATTCACAGGGTTGGGAAATGTTGCTTTATTGAAAACTAGTGAGTGTTTATTGGGAAGGGCTACAGCTGTTGGGGCTGCTTGTTTGTTTTACTACTACCAGCAATAAATGAAGATCCATTGTTGTACTATAAACACAAAATGAGAAAGGTCTCCTGGGATAAACATGCAGGCAACACTGCAGTAGCATCAAGTCTATTCTCCCAACCTGATAACAGTAGAGATAGAATTAATCCCTGTGCCTGGGATTTATATCTCGTTCTTAATGCTGGTTTAGTCAGTTCAGCCCTTTCCCGATCCTAACCTGTCCCAGCTTCTAACACATTCATCAGCGCTGCTTATTTTGCTTTGCTCTCTGTGATCCTGTGTCAACCTCTGCATACCTCTGTCATAACTATGGTGCTCATTAGCAGGGAATGCCTAGCCTTGCCTACCCTCGCTGGGACAAGACACAAAAGAATTAGGGCCCTTGAAGCTTGCTCAGGGAGAAGCCAAACAACTATGATAGCAAAGTCTGAACAGAGTAGTTCAGGTGCTTTACGGTGAAGCTGTGCAATCCCTGTGTTGCTTTTCCAAAATGTTTGCCACACTGCTGGTCTCATTCCAGCCTGGGATTGCCCTGGCATACAACTGAGCTGTAGTCAGCCCTGTTTATTATTTGCTATGCTCAGAAGTGCTTCTCTTCATCTCTTTGGCAAACCCTCTGCACATTTGTCCTGCTTCTGCTAGCTAATTTCAGCATTAGCTTGGTTTGGTAGCTAAGCACTGGCCCCATTTCTCTGGGTTCATTTTCTGAAGAGTTTACAATCCAATCATTCTGTTGAAGCAAGAAGCAGTAGTGCTAGGTCAACATCAACGGTTACATTTTTGTCTATTTATTTACTTTTCAGCAATGCACAAAACACATTTGTTAAGCTACCTCCCCCTATGCTTTCCATCAATGTTGTACCAGTGGAGACTTCAGAAGGCAGTGTTAGCTGTTTGGTGTGATTTCAGATGTCCTTTTTGACAACAAATCTCTGTGTGATGTTAATGAGGCTTGGGATCTGGAATACACCGAGAGTTACCATTGCTGCTGGGCACAACTGGAAGTGAAGGGTTATGGGCAACGGAGATGAAAAGGGACTTAGCCTTTCCTGTATCCTTCTCAGTAAGGACAATACAAAGAAAAAAGAGGTCTTCAGCAGTGTCTCACCAGAGTATAATTTTCATTAATTGCAGTATAATTATGTAATCACTTTAACAAATGCTGCCTGAATCTTCTTGGGCTGCAGCTATCTAAGATGACACCACCAGAAATATATCCTGTGATGAAGCAGGCTTTACGAAATTTTGGAAGCGTTGTCTGCCCTGTGACAATATCCAGGGATAGCCCTGGGCTGTGTTTCTTAAGTGTGTGTTCACCAGAAAAAATCAAAAGCTGTGGGAGAGTATGCTGAGGCGAGGGCTGGTCTGTTCCTGCCCAGTTGCTTTGACCCATCTCATAATACAAGCATTTTCTTCTACCCTTGTCAAAGACAGGGTAGTGGGATAAATGCTCTGACCTGGCGTACAACAGTTAGCAAAGTTCAAGTTTGATTTGAGGTGGGGTAGGAGACAATTATCTACTCAACAGGCATAGGTACAGAGCAGACCAAGCACCTCTTACCTGTTTGGGAGAAATTAATGACTATGTTTTTATCAATGTTTTTCACTTAAGCTATGAGCACCTGTGGTTAACACAACTTTTCCCAGCTGAGCCTCTTTGGATGAGTGCCTTTGTCT